TGACCAGCTGAGCTGCTGCTGGCAGCGCTGTCAACGTCGCTGCCGCTACGTTCGTCTGTGTGTGTGTGTAAATTGCGCAGCAAAAATGCCGGTTGAGTTTTGGTATTAAATCAACCAAAATAACAATATTTGTAAAATATTTCTCTTGTTGTTTCTTTGCATTTCGCATTGTTGTGGTTGTGTGTGCTTGTGTGTGTGTGTCAGTGCTGCTAGTTTCGCTTTTTTCACGTCAATTTTGGCTTTTTATATTAGCGGAAAAAGTTTTAAAGCAGCTGGCTCTTTTTTTATATTTTAAATAGTTTTACTAAATTTACGTTTAGTTTAAAATAAAATGAAATTTAATAATTAAATAATGAAATTAACTATGTATATTATAATTTTTTTTGCTAGTAATTCTCTTCTCAGCACTGGCGCGTGTTTTTGTTATTCGAGCGAAATCAGCTGTTGCTGATTCATTGATTTCGCCGCAGTTTACAGTTGTTGCTTGATTCTCTGCAGGCGAAAACGGAACGGAACTAACATACAGATGAGCCACGCATAGACCGCCTTTCCCATTTGCTGCTGTTAATGACTTTTTCGCTGCACTTTGCAGTTGCAGTCGCTGCCATTGATAAAAAAAAAAGCAAACAAGCACCGTTACAACGCAACATACAGTCATTAAATCCGGCGAGACGACATTCCATGTAATCAACACAGCAACAACAACAACAACAACAACAACAACAACTAGCCAAAAGCTCAGCTCGAAAGCCTGCAATTGACAACGGCGACGATCTTTAAGCGCCGCAACAGACGACAGACTGCGCTGCCAACGACCGACCGACATTTTTGCAAGCACACACACACATACACACACACAGTTGCACTTGTCTGCCTGCTGTCTGTCTGTGAGTAAGTTTGTCTGTGTGTGTGTGTGTGAAGAAAACCCACAAAGTAATTGATCCATTGCACTTATGCTTTGCTAGGCTGCCGTTATTGTTGCTGTTGTTGCTGCTGTTAGTTGTTTTTGTTGCCTTGCAGCTTTCTCTGCGCACAGCGCACTCTCTGCTTTCCGCTATTACATTCTTTCTTGCGAAAGTGCCGCGCATTCGCTGCTCTCGATAAGTAATCGGTTTTTTTTTTATTTGTTGTTTGCCAACCCTGTGCATAATCGTTTTCCAACACCATCCACAAAAGCATTTAAGTGCAGCGCGCAGACATTTACATATATGTATGATATGATATTGTCATAGACATCAGATGGACAGCTCAAGTTGTTACAGTAAACACCCCTTGTGGGCGAACATTTTCGCTCAAAACATTATTAATCAGATCACACCTAAATACAAGAAACAATCTGTCAATTATTGAACTGCAAATAAACATTCTGTTCAGTGTTGCAAAATATGCGAACATCAACGAATCTCATCAACATCATCCGGATACTAAATCGCACCCATAGAAATAATTGGCCTTAAATTAAGATATTGTCTGAACATATTTAAAGAGGTTAGGCATATATATGGCACATCTGTAGCAAGGGTATATACATATATATGTATGTATGTATGTATGTATTGGGCACTCGGTTGTTTTTAATTAACCCCGAGGTTGGGGCATAAAATAATTTCAAATAAGCAACGCAGCTGCATTAATTGCATTTTGTGGCCAAAGATAATGCCGCACATTTGTAGCACGCACAGAATATGACACGGGAAAGGGGGAGGGGGACAGTGAGACAGTCGAGAGAGTGAGATGGCAAACGTTTTTACTACGAAATGCAGCTAGCTACAGTTACAGTTATAATGCGCCATATACCACGCACGTAAAGCATATAACAGTACATAGCTGACATAACGGCGCTTATGTACACACATACACATATATATATATGTATGTATGTATGTATAACGCTTGGGTGTTGGCGCATCCCGGACAGCTGCTGGGCTGCAATGCCGCGCCAAAGCAAAGGTTGCCCGATGCCAATGGCCTAGTGCACTGTTAACACCCCCCAACCCCCACACCCCGCCCACCGCCCACTGCTGACAAGTGTCGCCCACCTGCCACGCCTTTTTGGCCACAAACAGACGCGACGACGTCCAGTGCGCAGCTGCGGCAACAAAAAGCTGAACGCCCAATTCCCTGCTAAGAGTTTGAGGGCGGTATGGGGAAGGGGGCGGGGTGGTATCATCCCTTAACCATGCCTGCCGCCTGTCACTTTCCAGTCACAAATAATCGTCATCGCGCAAAACAGCTGCCTACCAGGCGCCAGGCAGGCGCCGATGTTTCATTTCGCCAACAAAATGGCAATGAAACAGGCCAAATCCAACCAACCCCCCACCCCACCCCATCCCGCACACACAGAGCTACAACCATGTGAGAGCGTTGCTCTCAGCTGTGCCAGCGGTGGGGGAGGGGGGGGTGGTGGTGGCAAAGCGCCAGGATAATTGGGCCTGGCCCTAGCCTCACGCAATGTTTTGGGTCTGGGCGCCGACTACAGTGAGCCCTAACTCAAGGGGCAACTCTGCAGTGCACTTTTTAAATTTTTGTCAGTGTTAAAAAACAACACAATTATTCAAAAATAATAACAGTAAAAACATGAGCTGCTTGCTCGCTTTATATGTCCTTTTCGTGTGCACGCTAAGCAATCTTCACTGTACCGGGCCTGTCATTATCATCCAGTGCTGCCCATGCCCTGACTTCGCCGCTGTTTCGAGTTGGGGAATGCTGCCAACTCGGGGGTTGTTGGCGCTTTTGGCGCGCACTGGAAAGCTGCTACGCGAGGCTGGATCGATATTTTTGGAGCTACAACGTAAACTGTAGTATAAAGAGAGGCGCGCACGCAGCGAAAAAAGAAGACAAGAAAAAAAAATAGAAGAATTCCAGTTGTGCGTCGGTTTTACAAACGTTGGATGAGAGGCTGGTGGGTGGTGGGTGGGGTTGGGGGCGAATTCCAAGTACAGCTCCAAATCGTGCAACACTTTAATGTAGGTTAGTTCAGCTGCAAAACACGCGCAGCAGGCAGCAGCGGGCAAACTGTACGCAATTGCGCTGCACTTTGCACTTTGGCGCCACCTAGCGAGCAAGTTCAATGACCCGCCTCAACGAGCGAGCAAATCACAGACTACTTGGCACAGTCGCCCACTCGCGTCTGCACATATGTCTACATAACTGTTATTTACATAGAGCTGTTATATGTACAAGTGTCTGTCTGTCTGTGTGTGTGTGTGTGTGTGCATAACTGTCAATGGCGCAGCGGCTGTCGTCGCCGTCAGCGTCGCTACTTTCTGCAGTATTGCAATTTTTTTTCACACTTTTGTGTCAACTAAAAGCTCTGCATGCGTGTGTGTGTGTGTGTATGTGCATGTGTGTGTGTGTGTGTGTGTGTGTGTGTGTGAGCTGCATTCGTCGTGCGACCTGATTCCGATTCCATTCGTTGTCGTCGTCAGTTTGTTTTCGTTTTAGGCCTAGTCTCAGCCTGACCAGCCCAATCCCCCCCCCCCCCCCCCCCCCCCTTCCACCACAACCATCAGCTTACTCCAAGTTGGTCAAGCTGAAGCGCAGTAATGCTAAGGCTATTGCCATCTCGCTTGCACACAAAAAACTACTACCTACTACAATGTTTACTATGTGTTATAAACGCTGGCGTTGCATAGAAGAAGAAGCAGCAGCAGCTATGACAGAGCGTAAAAAAAAAATCTATAAACTACTTGCAGCTGAGCACACGCTAAGCCACCCACCACACACACCCCCCCCCTCCTCTCATTTCTGCTTCTCTTTCTGGCACACGTCATGACTGTTATACGCCCATTATGTCATTCATCAAGGCACAGCGCTGCGCTGCGCTGTCAACGCCGCTGCTGGCGTCGCTGCTTTAGCCCTTTTTTTGCGCGCGCGTCGTCAAGTAACGTGATATTTACGCGATTTTCTTCCTGTTTACATTGTTTCACCCCTCCCCGCGCAAGTTAACTCTTTAGCTCCTTCTATTGACACACGAGCTGTCATGTTGTTGTTTATGCTGCGCGCTTTTTAGGACTTTTTCTGTTTTTTGCTGCGCTTTTTGTTTAGACTTTGATTTATGTTGGCGAGTTTTGTTTGACATTTTTCAATTTGCAATAAATAAAAGCACCAAAACAGTACTGAAAATCTGGCTAGCAGTGTTGCAAAATACGCCAATTTGGAGCACTCGAGCAAATCGTTGAAAGAGAATGTTGTCTAGCAGCAGAGTCATAAATTCAAAGTTAAAGAAAGTATGCGCATCAAATAAATCTTTCGCCGTTTAATATGACACGTTGTTGATTTACAGCCGTCTGCTGCCCCCCCCCCCCCCCCCCCCCCCCCACACACACACACACCAACACACAAACACATGCACACACAACTCACTCGAGATGTCGCCACAGCCGCCACAACAAATCGATGTTTGTCTCAAGGTGAAAAAAAAACACACACACACACAAATACATACACAACACGCGTGGGTACACAAAAAAAAAAAAAAATGATAGCCTAAAACGGTAGCGGCCGCAACAAGAACAACAATAACAACAACGACAACGACAAAAGGGTTGCCATATCAACGAGACTTGAAAAGGGACCTTCATGTGTCAAGTGGCGCTGCGCTGCGCTGCGCTGCGCTGCGCTGCTGACGTCGCCGCTGGCGTGCACACAAAAGGCACAACACACGCACACATACACACACGCACGCAGATTTTTGAGAAAGTTTTTAGCATGAAAGGCAGCCATTATTTGTATGTAGCAGGCAGCAATTTGTCAACATACGCAAAAGCTGCTTGTTATTGCTGTTGTTGTTGCTTCTGTACATGAAATTGAACGAGGCGTTGAAGCGTAAATGGATAACAAAACAATGCATGTGCATCGTACACACCCACACCAACGCATGCGTGCATGCATGCATGCACACATATGTAATCCAATTAGTGCACTGTTAACAGTGCAGCTCAAACTGTTGTTTTTTTTTTTCTTTTTTGGCTACGTCTTGTTGTGATTTGTGAACTTACCTTGCTCAACTTTTCGCCCTCGTGTCGTGGCAAGAGCGAACGTAAATTCTGAAAACCGGCATTGATGCTCTGCATGCGTCGTCGCTCGTTGCTGTTGGCTATTTCCCGTCTCATACGCTTCTCGGTATCCAATATGGGCTTGCCGCTTGGCGAGCTACCCCCATCGCCGCCGCCGCCGCCTCCCCCGCCATCTTTTGTTGTATTCGATGCGCTCATATTCGATTGGCGACGCTGCGAGCTGGTTGTAACCTGATGCGCCGGCTCGGTGGTGTACTCAATGTGATAGGTATTCTCGCCGCCTGAATCTTCCAGTTGTAATCTGTGAGGGGGAAAGAGAAAGAGAAAGAGTGTGTGTAAAAACTATTATAAAACATCATAATTATAATTGTGAGATGCGTTGAATATTTATGGCACCAAAACCAATTAACTTTTACACACACACTCTGAAAAACTCATTCATTCATTCATAAATTTACAATTCCATTCAATTCAGTTTTAGTTTAGCCGCACACACACACACACACGCACACAAAGCCAATGGGCAGCGCTGCCCAAAGCATCAATACAACGACAAAAAAAATATGTACATATAATCACAAATACAACAAGAACGAACGAAGCAGCAGCAGCAGCATAAAAAGCAACATGTCAGCGAGAGCGGCAGCGCGTGAGCGTGGGAGAGTAGGAGAGAGAGAGAGTGCGCTCACAGCTGTCAAATATGGCTTTTTGCCGTTGCTATTGTGTCTTCTGGTTTTAAGTCGAATTTATATGCTGTCGCCGCACAGCAATAGCATAAGAATTTCAAACAGGTTTTACAACAAGAGAAAAAAAAACAACACACGCACACATGTGCTCTTAAATTTTCAATTATGCGTCTAATGAAAAGCATTTTCACAAAGGTATGCACAGGCCACAAAACATATGAAAACGCGCCTATGTGTGTGTGTGCGTGTGTGTGTGTGCATGTGTGAGAGAAAGAGCACAATGCCTGCGCCTTTGTGTTAGTGTAAAGTTGCAGCACTGCATTCCAGCAGCAAGAGAACAACAGTAAGAAGAAGAAACGTCAGCCGCAGCCGCAGCAGCCACAGCAGAACGTTAAAGACAAGAAACGATAGAAAATCTTAGACGTCGTCGTCTGGGTTGCATTGGTTTATTTTTAGCAACATACCATTACCATCCATAACAAAGGTCGTTCGCAGCAGCAGCATATTTTGTGTTGTGGATTTAATACCCTGTTGGAGTGTGTAAAGAACTTAGTGGGTATGATGTGCCTGTGCATGAAGTTGATACGATTTTTCTATTATCAGAATACATATATTTTTATTTATGTTTAGATATATATTTAAATTCAAAAATATATATATTAGGTAAACATAGCTGCATTTATTTAAGAAAAATTTCCCTTAGCAACTTTTTTTCTTTTTATTTTACACGTAGAGCATCTGATAGTCGCATATGCCGCACTTTTCTGTGCATTCTTCAGTGAGAAGTTGCCAAACTTGGCCAAGCGGATGTTGCTGCACTTGCTGTGGCGGCGGCTGCTGCTGCTGCTGCTGTTATTGTTGCGGCAATTGTTGTTATTGTTATTGCAGTTGTTGTTGCTGCTCTGGAATTTGTGTTTGCTAACAGCAAAAGCCACAAAAGCGACAGCTTCTGCACTTTTGTTGCATGCAAACTATTTTGAATGAAGCTGCATATTTGTTATTTAGCACGCGTTGACAAGTACACACATGCTAATATGCACTTATACATGTGCATATGTTATTACAGTTTGTTGTTGTTGTTGTCGTGCAGACACGCAAGCAACAGCTGTTGCGCTTAATTAACATGCACAGCAGCTAAAAATAGCGATCATGTTAAATTAACAGCGTCGAATTCGCTGGGGCTGTTAAGTGCTTCCATGTGTGCAACTTAACAGCTGTTAACCGCCAAAAATTGCATTCATTTAAAAAGTGCCCTAATTAAGAATACCCTATAGAAATATGAGCTAATTTTTCAGCTCTTTTTCATATATTCGCTTTGCGCTACAATAAAAAACATCTGTTGACTGTTTTTTTTTCTCTTTTTTTGTTGACATTTGAAATAGCAAATTGCAATTTACGCATTTTCTGCATTTCACCAGCTGCATTTGCAACAACAACAACAACAACATATGATATTTAACAGCTGCGGCTGCTGCTGCTGCTGCCCGGGGGCCGACTCTGCTGCTGTCCCAAAGTTCAATGTAGTTCATTGGCCACTTTTCGCCAACCAACCAACACACACACACACACACACACACACACACGTACATGCACAGCTAAACGGAACAGACAAAGCCGAAGTCACGAGTGCCGCCGACTTGTTGTTGTTGTTGCTGCTGCAGCAGTGCACATAAATCGTATGCATGTATATGTTTATGTACGCTTGTATGTGTGTGTGTGTGTTTTTGTAACTATGTACGTTTATTGGGTCAACGCTTACGTCATCATTTTTGCCTGGAATTTGTCGGCTGCAAATAATGCCAATTGGCAATTGCCAATTGCTGATTGCAGGTGAAAAGGCAACGCACAAAATGCATTTTTAATTCATAAAGATAAACTTGAATTAAATATTAACCAGATGCATAAACAAATGAGTGTGTCTAAAGTAAATTGACCTCATTCAGCTGAACAATTAGCATAAATAATGGGAAATGTTCAATGAATGTGGGGGAATGTAAACTTTATCCGCCGGTATATTCACATTTTATCACTGATCAAATCCACCCGTTCAGTGCTTAAATCCGCAAAGGCATCTAATTTCGAAGCCTCATTTTATATGGTCACACTTTTATGATTGAGGACAGAGAGAGAGAGGAAATGCCAAGCATCTGTTGCACTAACAGGCAATCATTGTTTTATGCCCAGTCACGTACACACGCACACTCACACACACACACGCATACATATGTACATCTGTAGTAAATGCTAAAGAGTTGAGGGAAGAAGAAGAAGCAGCAGCAGCAGCAATTGGCGAAATGCGCAGTAAAACGCAATAAACTTTGCCACTTGCGTAATGTGCAGCAAAGGCAACAAAGTAGCATAAACAAATGAAAAAGTTTAGAATAACAGCCCACCTTTACCCCCCCCCCCCCCCCCCCCCCTCCACAGTCACACACACGCCCACACTTAGTCGGCCTTTTGGCGCCACAATTGCAATAAAAAAAAAACAATATAAACAGAGAACGCAGACTGCAAAAGTGCCGTTGCAATTCGATAAGAGAGCGGGCGACATATAACGGTTACATAAGCACACACACACACACACACATGCATAAACAGACGCTCTCACATGAGGTAATCCGAGATGAATATGTGCCAGGTGCAAGGTGCCAGAGGGAGAGGGGGCGAGCGAAATGATATCTTTGCATGTTGCGTATGTGACAAAAACAACAGCTGTTGAGCGAATTAACAGTGAAACAAACTGTCGCCGCATAGAAGAGCGCACACACACGCACGCATACATACAGACGTACGTACGTACAGCCACAGCTGACGCTAGCGTTAATCTTTAATAAAATTTGCAAGTCAAACTATGTGCGGTAAACACACACACACACACACACGCGCACACACAAAAAACAATCATGTGTTTTTCATCAACAATTCAAGCAAACGAATTGATGCCGCTTCTTTCACTCTTTCCTTCGCTCTCGCCCTCGCCCTCTCTCTCTCTCTCACCCTCTCCCTCTCTCACCGTCTTGCTCGCTCATGCACCCACTCTCACTCTCAGGCAGACGACGCGCAGGTTGCCCATTATAAAAATGCCGCATGCAAAAACGCAATGGCAATTGAAACAGCAAGGCGAAACGCCTGACACATGAAACAGCCATCGCCCAAAAATTTGCGCAGCAGCTTTTATCTTTGCGCTTGTATGTGTGTATGTGTCTGTATATATTGTTTTCTTATTGGCAATTTTTTTTTTCTTTTTTCGCAAATTCGCGACGCTTTGCAGTCGTGTTGGCGTTGGCAGCGACAGCGGCAGCGGCTTTTTGTGTATACGTTTATTCAATGAAATGCCGTGTAGTAGTAGTAAAAAGCGCTGTGCTGTGTGGCGGCATCTGTACTTTTGCGAAAATTCCCCTTTATAAAATGCATACACACACCCATACACATACACACGCGCCCACTCTCACTCACTCTCTCCCTCTGCGACACATTGTCGAAGGAGCAACAAGCTTTTGAGTGCAATGCCAGCAGACTCACTCACTCACAGCTTATGTACGCCAGGCAAGACTGCATGCAGAAACACAACACACACATACATACACACACACACATGTGTGCTCCCCTATGAGCGAATTTACAAGCGTGGCGCTGGCAGCTGACGCCGCGCAGTTGCGGCGACTTCCAGTGTGTGGGGAAAACGGAAATGACGCCACACGCATACATATACACTGACAAACCATGCGAGAGCATGTGCAACGCTTTGGAGACTTTTAGCCAAGGCACTTGCCGGGCAGCTGTTGTTGCAATGGACATTTCGAAATGCCTTCAGCTAGCGTTTTTGGCATAAAATCCTAAGAATTTACTGCTGTCCCAAAATTACATGTCCACTCACCGAAGTGCGTTAGTTTACAATAAAGCTAAATGAAAATAAAGCAAAAATAAGAAGAAAAATAAACCTGTCAGCTGTTTTGCAGCATTGCTCGATTTACAGTGTTGATAAAGTGAGTTGGAACCCAACCGCATGCAGTTATACAATACAAACATATGGGCAAATGCCTGCCTTATTGATAAGTCCGACGCACACACACGCACACACGCATACACGCCAAACCTTGAGCCACACAGCTGCCATTGGGCGAGAGGGAGAGAGCAGGCGTTTGGATTCTTTTACGTCAGAGTCGCTGCGTGTGCGTGCGTGTGTGTGAGTGCGAACATATGCTGTGCCGCTGTTAAAAGCAGAAAGGCGGCTGCTGATAACAGACATTTGTCGACCAAAACCATATGATTTTGATAAAATACAAAAAAGGGCCGGCACAACTTTCGCCGCAAGCAGCAAAGCAAAATTCGCTAATAACAACAAATAGAAAAAACTGTACATTTCGATGCTCTCCAGTTCACACATACACACACACACACATGCATGTTTACATTCTCTTTCTTTCATCATTTGCTGCTCATTTGTAGCTATTGCGTGTGTGTGTGTGTGTGAGTGCGTCGCTCGCTCAGGTAGCCGCCGCCGCAGCCCATATGATGATTATAGAAATATACCGGTACAGCTGATTTGGCCGCAACTAATATAAACGCGCCGTTGATTAGACAGCGTGTCACGATAAGCAGCAGCGGCAGCAGCAGCAGCCAGCGTTGGCAGCGCAGCTGTTTCGCACAAGCAGCTGAGAGAGCGAGCGAGAGAGCACAACAGCAGATCGCAAGCCGCGTGCACGAGTATAATTTGACACATGTATTTTACTTATAATTAAGTGTGCACACTATTCTGGCCGGCAGTGTAGCGTGCTGGAATCAATGCGAGAAAACAGCCGTTTTTCAAATATGGCGAGTGTAAAACGTAAAAACAACAAGACAACAAGCAGCAGGGCAGAGCAAACAAAAAAAAGAAGAAACAGAAAAGGAAAAGGGAAAAAAAAGTAGCGTCACCTTTTTCCAGCGAGACGCTGGCACAAAACGAAACGGGCAGAATAAGCGGGAATGCTATGGAAATGGAATGGAATGTCTGTTCAAACCGAGCGCCATACGTTTTCCATACATGTGTGCGTGAGAGTGTGTGAGTGTGTATGTGTGCGCCGCTGCTAGCGTGCATTGGTGGTGGTGTTTTTATGCCGCGTTTGTTTTGTGCGGCAAAACAGGCGGCAAAATTATACGTCTGCCGCGTGCGAGCGCAAGCGAGAGACAGAGAGAGAGGGAGAACAGGCGAGAAGGAAGGAGCGCTCTGAGAAATAATCAATAATTTGCGTGATAAAAAAGGAGGAAAACTAAAGTGCAAGCGCGCAGTTTGTTTATTTCATGTTTATTCCATGAGAATCAAGTAAACAACACAATTCATAACGGTAATGCGATACGCGTTACGCGCGTGTAGAATTATTATTTGCGTTTACTTTTTTGTTATTACTTCTGCTGCTACTTCTTCTTCTTGTGCTTCTTCTGCCTTTGCTGTTGTCCCTTGATCTAAACTTACTGTAACTCTTCATCCAATTCCTCAGCGCTATTGTATTCGGCGTTTTCCAAAATGACTTCCTCCGTTTTAATGGCCAGCGGTACCGAAGACATTTTTTATTTGATGTCTGTGTGTTTGTTGCTGTTGTTTGTTGTCGCGCGTTGCGAATGTAACTGTTATTGGAGCAGGACACACGTGCTTCACTATTTATTTTTATATATTCGTTTGGTTTGTTGCTGTTCTGCTTCTTTCTCTTCTTCGCTTTCTGTTTTTCACCTGGTCCGCTGCTCACACACACACAAGCAAACACACGCATGCACACATGCACATATACGCGCAATCGATCGTTGACTTTTTGCTATGTGTGTGTGTGTGTGTGTGTATTGTCGACGTCGTCGTCGTCGTCGTCAGCTGGTCTTCTGTCTGCTTCTTCTCGCTGCCTTCAGCTGGCTTTTGTGTTTAGCGGCAAATTGTTAGGCAGACACAACACACACAGACAGCGCACTCACACTCGCACGCTCATGTAAACCGCACTCGCACTCACACACACGCACTTCGAAACAGCAGGCGGCGCGCCGTAAAAAATTGAGCGCGACGGCGTCGATGTTGTTGTTGTCGCACAAACACTAGAAGTTTTCACAAGCTTGTGCAAAATATATTTCTTCTTCTTGGCGTTGTTGATGTTGTTTTTGCAATTTTTATTTTGCTACACCACTTTGGCATATACACATACACACATATACATCGATAGATATATATATATAAGCAAAATGGTTGCACTGTACGTAGACCGCGTTTTTATACAAAGCGTCCGCGACGTACGTCTGCTCGGTTCAAAAATTCAACGCAAAATAACAGCTGTTAAGTTGTGCCAGTGTGGCCGAATTGACCAAGCCGAAATATACCAATCATACAGACTGCAAATACCAAATCGACAAGGGTTGAACACAATGCAAATGCACTTGGCGCATGCAAAGACTTGTTTGATTGAGCAAACAATATTGTGCAGCAGTTAATATTCATATGATTACAAAATGTATGTTGTTTGGTTTTAAATCCTAATTTATATGTTAGCATCTGTGACCAGTATTTTTAAAAATGTAACGCTTTAATACTGGTGTGCGGCGAAAATTGTGCTGTTAATGAACATGCGTTCTCTTAGTCTGTTAACTTAACAGACGCGAAGAGACTAACAGTTTGCAAGTGGGAAACTATCGCTGGCTACGTATAATCAAAATTTGATATAAATTTGCCAAATAAACGCTATTTTGGGTTAAATGCAATGATTTGTATATATTTTACTACACTTTTTAATTGGCAAATGCAGGCATGAAAAAGCAACAGTCCGTTGACAAAAATTCAAAATGCGGATATTGTACTTAGTGTGACCAAAGTGGCTTATATTACAAATACTGAACATTGAAATAAAAATGAGCGCCAATTATGGCCGCTCTTAGTCTGTTAAGATAACAGAATGAGAGTGACGCTGTGAGCGGCTGCTGTTAACTAAAGTACTCGCTCACCAAGTGAGAGCGCTCTAAAGAGCGCAATAGCAGTGTTGGCAAGCGTTTACTGAAATTAGTATGCAGCTTGCGGCTTCGAGTATTTATTTGTTTTCCCACACAGCCGGTCGGACATAGCTTCGTTGCACTCGTTAATTAGCGCATTAATTGAATTAAATACAACACGAAAATGTCCGCTGCGTCAAATCAATGGGAAGTCGTGTCCAAATCGCGCAAACAAAAGAATCTGGAGAAGAAGGTCAGCGCCCATACGGAACAGAAGCGCATTGCCGCCCAGCTGCCCAAGCTGGAGGAGCTCAGTAAGCGATTAGATTAGCCTAGAACAAAAGCAACAATTAACACAGATAAATGCTGTACTTTTCCAGTGCCAACGCAGCAATATCGCAACTTATTCGGCAGCAGCAGCAACAACAACAACAACAACAACAAATCGAATTCACCGGCAAAATCCACATCAAGCGTTGCATCTGCTTCTTCCAAGGGCAAATCGCAATCGCCACGCAAAACAAATCCAAATGCGGCGAAATCAACTGCAGCCGACACGGCGAAAAAGCAACCGAAGCCGGCGGCGAAAGCGAAATCCCTCGAACAGGCCATGAAACAGATCACGATTGACGATTTCGCCGCACAGGTGGCACAGGTGAAAATCAGCTGCCCCGGCTCCGAGCTGCGCTGGCTGAGCAATGTAAGTGTATTGACCGGCGTTGCACGGTTGAAATTAGCAATGAGAGATCAGAGATATACGCGCTTCTATGTAAAGCTCAAATTATGGAGAACCTTGTTTCAGTTGCTTTTTATCAATATGAAAATTTGAAATTTTGAGCGAAATTAGACAAAGATATTGATGCCAAAGAGAATTATTCTTGTTTCCACCTATATTCCACTGCGTGAATCTTTCCAATCTTCAATATTTGCTTTTTCCGCTCCATAATATCATACTTTTTATCGTTCTTCTATATCTTTCTCTTGTTTAACGATTCTAGTTAGATTATTTTCGTTTTTATTTATAATTCGTTTTTTTTAGTAAAATATTGTAAATCCATTTTCGAATCGGTTCAGTTACAGCCTTGATATAAACTATTTCGACTCTCTTCTCTCTCAAGAGTTTCTTCAAGATCAACACGATCTTCCATTTGGTCTCCATTTAACAACTGCTCTATCTTCTTGTGGTTCCATTATTTCCGACTGCAATCTTGTTTCCACCTATATTCCACTGCGTGAATCTGTTGAATCTCCTAAATTCTCTTTTCCCTTTATCGTTATTCTTCTCCTGTTTGATTTACCTTCACATGGTTCCATTATTTCCGACTGTATTCTTGTTTCCACCTAGTTTCCACTGCGTGAATCTGTTGAATCTCCCAAATTCTCTTTTCCCTTTATCCTTATTCATTTGTTTCCACCTATATTCCACTGCGTGAATCTTGTGAATATGGAAGATTCTCATTTCCCTTTATTCTTATTCTTCTCCCGTTTGGTTTACTTTCACATAATTCCATTATTTCCGACTGTATTCTTGTTTCCACCTATATTCCACTACGTGAATTTGGTGAATATGGAAGAATCTCCTTTCTTTATCGTTATTCTTCTCTTATTTGTAACATTTCGCCCTTGCAGATTGCCAGCTATCTGAATGGCGTCCTGTCCTACGACTGTGATCCGACATTCTCCGGACGGAGTGCGCAATATCCGAGCAATTTGGCCAGCTCCGGACTGAAGCAGGCAATATTGGAGTTTCTGCGCAGCGTGGGCGAAACGAATCTAGAGTATTTCTTCTACTCGCTGCTGGACAGCATGGCCACAGAACTGAACAGCGGCCAGACCGTGGCCGGCTACAAGTTTGTGCTGCAGCTAATTGGCCAGAACTGGCCCAGCATTTGCGCCCACAACATGGCCAAGACGGCGCTGTTGCGCAATTCCTATCAGAATCGCAGCAACATCTGCCTCAGCATACTGTGGGCCATCGGCCAGGGCGGGCATCAATCGCTGACCGAGGGCGTCAAGGTCTGGCAGAACCTGATGCTGCCCAATCTCGAGATGAAGAGCTTCACCAGATTTGTCGTCGAGCATATCGAGCGTGTGCTCCTTGCGGCTGCAGCACGCAAATCCGAGATCCTGCAGCTCAATCAGCAGGAGTTCTTCGCCTGTTACAATGCTTTGAATGCCAACTACAACAACTTTGGCAAGGAGCTGCAGCAGAGCCTCAAGCGGAGCGCCACCCAGCTGCTGGTGAGTAGCCATAACGATAACGATAACGATAACAATGGGCGATAACGATAACAATGTCGATAACGTTAGGCCTAACTTCAACCTTTTGAAGGTTTTTGGTATAGCTTAACTTATTTTTCGGGTTATTTTAGGGGTTTCTGTGTTAAATTTAAGCTTTGATAATTCCCCCTTCGATAGACATTACGATATCGATAACAATATCGATAACGTTTAGCCTAACTTCAACCTTTTGAAGGTTTTGGGTTCAGTTCAAATTTATATTCGATTAATTTGTTGGTTAATTTGTTAAATTGAAGCTTTTATAATTTCCCCTTCGATAGACACTACGATAACGATAACAATTTCGATAACGTTTAGCCTAACTTCGATCAGGGATGCAAACTTTGTTATAAAGCACAGTTTTCTTTTTAATAGTAAGCTTTTAAAAGGTTTTTGGTTTAGTTTTTAGTTTCAGCTTAGTTAATATCCCCTCGATAACAGTTACGATAACGATAGATTTAACGATCAGAGCAAACACACAAGATTTGCTTCTTAATAGTCAATCTTAAAGGTTTCTCGTTCTGTTTAACATTTATGTGCGCTTAATTCCCTTACGTAATTCCCCCTCGATAACGATAACGATAACGATTGTCTGGCCGCAGCAACTGTACATTGCCAGCCCCGTGAAGCAGGCGAACATTTTCCTAACGCTGCTGCGCGAGATCGAGTCGAAGAAGCAGCGCACGGAGATCGAGGGCTGCATCAGCTGTTTGCTGAGCAGCGGGGCGGAGGATTGCTTCAAGGTGTGGCGCATGAACTATAAGAAACAGCAGCTCTCCAGCTTGGTGCTCTTGCAGACAATTGGTGGGTTTATTTTTGTTGTACAACTCTTTTCTGGCATAGATTTCAATTATTCTATTTGACAGATAACGATTGGACGGAGTCCACGAAGCAGCTGGCGCAGTCGCCGGCATATCACACATTTCTGCAGGATGTGAAAAATCTAAACACCGAGCTGCAAACGGGCAAACGCAAAGATTTGTACGTAAACGAGCTGACAACGGTTTTGAAGGTAAGTTCGCGTTACGTTTTTGCCAATTTGAATTTTAACAGTCGGCATTCGCCTAACGTCAAAACTCCACCGGGTTACGTTATCGAACACAGCTGGTCACACCGACAGCTGTTTGCTTGCGTGCGCAGCGTGTGAATGGCCCAGACGCCATTGTGTGCACGTTGCGTGCTGAGTGTCAGTTTATTGCAAGTAGCTACACAACAAAAAAGTATTTTCCAGCATAATTCTGGCTTAAATATTGAAAATCAAAATAATTCCAATTGGAATTTGAACTCTAGTGTTAAAAGTAATTCGCGCCATTTACAAGTCTGTTGCATTAAACGCGTAAAGCAAAGCAAAGCAAAGCAATAAGAAAAAGCTGACGTCGCCGCCGCCTTTGCTGCCTCTGCTGCTGCGGCTGCTTGCGTCGCATTTGCCGGGCGTTCAATAATTTCTCTTTGCAGCCCAAACTGCGCTTAATTATACGCGTGTGCGTGCGTGCATGTGTGTGTGTGACTCTGTGTAACTGTGTATGCATGGCGTTGCCATGCGGCCCGACCACTTTTTGCCGCTAATTTATGTGTGCGTGTGTGCACTGCGCTTATCGCAGCCAGCAGC